GTGAGTTGTTCAAACGTATTTTTACCCATATGAAATCATTAAACTTCTCAGCTTTTGAGCACATTTCTCTTTTCATCAACCAAAAATCACACAAATCTATTGATGCATGCAGGTATTAGCAGGTTTGGATCAGCTCATCTTTTATGCATCAGAAGCTTCCTCGTGGTGTCAGCTTGACTCTGTCACCTGTAGTCGCCTCATGAAGCTCTGTTGTTATCAGAAAGCTGCCCTCTGGCAGAGACCTATGGTGTCACCATTATCAAGCCCCCTCACAGAGATCATCCATCATTCAGACACACTTCTGTTTGTGTCAGCTCACCAAACCCCGCTGACAAAGATAGCTGCAAACAACTGGTTATTTAAGGTGGTAGCAACTTTGAGTTCACACAAGGCAAGCACAGATTCCTTATGTCAACACATTTCATGTTAAGATCCCTTTAGAAAACAAAACATGGATTTCTATGTTTCTGGTAAGATTAGTAAACCTCACAAGATCTGCTGTTGTCCGCTGGGAAGAAACGACTGATGAAATCAATCCCAGTCATGCTAATATGTGTTTATGTGTCTGTCTGGTTGTTATTGGTGATAACAAAATGACAATGGGAGCGAAATGTTCCAGAGTGAACATAAGTTCTTTGTTTCTGTGACAGCTGAATCAGCAGGATCGGTCCCGTGAGCTCAGATTGTGACTTATCACTCCTTTTGGACATGTTGTGCCCAGACAAGAAGAACAACTAGATCCCTGCTTGTAGAGAAAATCTGATTTAGAAGATCTCCAAAACATTTTTTATAACTTACAGGCATTTTTACAAGATCATTTTGACACTTTAGATGAGTAACATCAGAGTGTAGTGAACAAAAACATGACCTCATACTATTCTGTCAGCTGTAGAGTCCTTTCCTGGCTCACAGTTTGACGTTTCCATGGCGAACACAAAAAAGATGCACCCCCCAGTCACTAGAACGAGTTGAAGCACACTTTAAACCCCTGCACAGGTTTTATGTTTCAGGTCACCAATCAGGTGGCTGTGTTTGTAAACAAAAAGGAAACTGAGGCAGTTAATAAAACAGCATCAACGAATTTCTTCAATATAAAGCTTCAACACTTTCAAATATTCTGTAACCTTTTTATTCCAACTCTAAATGAGCTTTAGTTCTGATAACAGTTAGGTTTTATCCACTAGAGGGCAGACAAACCCTCCTTCTCGGAGGTTCCTTCCTCCTCATCATGGCTACTGGGAGGATTCCTGCTGAGCCCTCTCCCTTATCGCATAATTTATTACAAATCCTGCTCTATTATGCATTCAGGCTCCACCAGTGTCACGTACAGGGCACAGTACACTTTCAAACCGCATATATAATACATCAGATTCCCCCCTATGCATCTGAAACACGTCCAGTCTCTGTCAAGGTTTGGCAGGTCTCATCCCTTTGTTCTGTTAAAGGGAAACTGAAAACTATGGGAACACAAATCTGTCCTTAATCAGATCCCAATCTGAGGGATATGACTCACCTTGACTCAAACAAGTGAAGGTGTGACTCACACTCACATGGAGAGAGCTTACCATGACCTGGCTGTACACAAACCCAGTAAAAACACACTCACAGCCTGACTCATGATGCCTTCTGTCAGTTATTTATTTCCTGTGCTTTTCTTACTGGTGCCTCAGCTGGTCTGATGAATTCCACCTCCATCTGGATTCAGACAACCTCCCAGAATCTCCACACGGTCACACACACATCATTCTTTATTTTAAACACACACACACACACACACACACACACACACACACACACACACACACACACACACACACACACACACACACACACACACACACACACACACACACACACACACACACTTGCACAGGGAGGCATAATAAGTAATTACCTAAGCTTTGCTTTTATATGTAAATCCCAGGGGTTCTTAATGAGAAGACAAAGTTCTGATTTTATAATCTTTAAATGAAACAAATATAGATCTAGGCATAATTTTGACTAAACAAAAATGTTTTTATCTGGGAGACCAGACATGTGATGTGGTGTTCAGTGTCAGAAGGAGTCATGAGTTAAATATAATGTTTTATTTTTTACACCCCTAGGCACACACAGTGCACTCTTAGCACACCTCTATAGCTGTGTGTGTGTGTGTGTGTGTGTGTGTGTGTGTGTGTGTGTGTGTGTGTGTGTGTGTGTGTGTGTGTGTGTGTGTGTGCGTGTGTGTATACGCGTGTGCGTGTGTGTGTTTCCTGCACAAAGCCTCAAAATAAAGTCTGAATATGGTTTGAGACAGAAGCCCACACGTTTTCCACCAACAGTATTGATTTCTATTGTTGTTGGTTGAGTGGTGATAATGGGCTCTACGTACACACACACACACACGCACACACACACACACACACGCACACACACACACACACACACACACACACACACACACACACACACACACACACACACACACACACACACACACACACACACACACACACACACACGTGTCAGGAGTTTACATGAGTGTGTGGCTGTTTTTCGGTCCTGCTTGGTGCAGACACTTTAGATCATGGATGGAAGAGCAGCCGTCCTCGAAAGCCTCCCATTAGTAAAAGCATGGTTGCCACGGCAACACGGCGGTACATGCTGGTTCACTGAACTAAGTGGCTGAATTATGAAAACATTTGGTTGTTGAACAGGCTAAACACACACACACACACACACACACACACACACACACACACACACACACACACAGCTCCCTGAGGAGTTTTGGAGTCTGCCGTCTGAAGTGTTTGGACTTTCTGCTTTCTAGAGAAAACAGAACTAGGCTGGCTTCTCCAGTGTGTCAGCTTTGCGTCGTGTGGTGACGTGTGACAGAAACATGTGCGGTGTAATGTGTTTTGAAAACAAATGATGCCTGGAATAGGTTTAGATGCCATCCATGCTTACTCTCGCCTTGTGGCTTGCGGTTCTTCTGATTGAAGCTTTAGGGGTGGCCCTTATCTGATGTTCAAGCACTTTAAAATTGAGTGACATTCAACAGACTTTCTGCAGCCTTTAAAGCTGCACATCCTTGAGTGGAGTACTTTTAATGAAAACCATACTCCTTTGCATGATATACGAGTGTGTGGGTGTGTTAGCATGGGCGAGAGTGTTTTCTTTAGGTCAGCCTTAATCCTTTCATACTCTAGCCTCACCTACTGGCCAAACATGAGACATTTCACACACGAGCGTGAACAAACACACATGGAGAACATAATTGAGTTTGGCACTGTATGATTAATGAACTTACGTTCTGCTGATAGACTTGTTTGAAAACTCACTGCAGAACTCCACCCTATGTGATCCTAACTAAACACCTCGCCTGCAACAACAGCGCCCCCCCCACACACACACACCATTAATTTTATCATGACTTGGATGGATGTCAGAGTTTAGCTTTATGGTGTGTAATGGGTGAAGATTTAAAAACAACAACATAAGGATTGAATGTAATTCAGTATATTTAAATGGCACCAAATGTTCATTTCATGTCACTTCACAAAGTAAACGTTCCAATTCAACCTACTTATCAGTGCACTGAGTTCAGTTCATTTGGCCAGTTGGTCAAAAGTTTCCTCCATCCATCAATTTTCTTCCTCTTATCCGGAGTCGGGTCGCGGAGGTAGCAGCTGGAGTAGAGAGATCCAGACTTCCCTCTCCCCAGCCACTTGGGCCAGCTCCTCGGGGGAATCCCAAGGCGTTCCCTGGCCAGGTGAGAGACCAGTGAGGCATCCAGGAGGCATCCTAATCAGATGCCCAAGCCACCTCAACTGTCTCCTCTATATGTGGAGGAGCAGCGGGTCTACTCAGAGCCTCTTTCGGCTGCTTGTATCTGCGATCTTGTTCTTTCGGTCACAACCCAAAGCTTGTGACCATAGGTGAGGGTAGGAATGTAGACTGACTGGTAAATCGAAAGCTTTGCCTTCTCACTCAGCTCTCTTTTTACCACGACAGGCCGGTACAACGCCCGCATCACTGCAGACACAGCATACACAGTAGAGTATTCAGACTTCTGCCTTACCGTTTGAATTTCAGGCAAGTTTCTCAGTGTTGGAATGGCTCCTCTTTCTAGACGAATCCTTGTTGCCATCTTCGCCCGATATTGCCCTAGATTTTTAAAGCATTCTGGATTAAAATAATTGGCGCAGACATCAAGACTGAATTTGAGGGAATAGAGCATTCACCCTGGGAATAGGAGACTGGGGTTCAAATCGGTCTCACCAAAGACTTTAAAAATGGGACCAAATGCCTCCCTGCTTGAAACATAGCTTTCAGCGGTTGGAATGGGGGTTAAACCACCAAATAGTTTGTGAGCGCAGCCATTGCTGCAGCTCATCGCTCCCCACGGGGATGGGTCAAATGCAGAGATTTCATCAGTGAGTGATGATGACTAATGGGACTTAATGGTGTTTATATTGGTTTTTTATTGTTCATCAGATGTGGATATTTATGTAAATCAAACAAGCACTTTAATACTCACATGGTTTAAGACTGGTAAATAACAGAAGGCTTTTATTCAACTAGTGTTTAACTAAACTATAAACTGTAGTTGTATTATATTAAGAGTATTAAAAAGGGAGCTTAGCTCATTTAGGTGATGCTGAACTTTGGCATTTCTGTTTTTAAGTGAAAATTTTTGTGCATTCAGAAAATGCTTCTTTTCATAAAATTTCTGTCAGTTCCAGTAGAAGTTCTGTCTGCACTGTCTTGTGTGTAGGAGATGTTTTTGTTTACATTAAAGCTTAATGAGAGTGAGATATGGTTCAGGAGGCCGATGATGGCCTCTCTGCCATCTCTGTGTTGCTCCCTACGCTCGGTCTGCTCGCTGTGGCGTGTAATCAATTACTTCTCCTGTCATTACAGACAAAACTTGACTGAATACAGAAGAGCACGCTTTCTTTGTTCCTGCACGTGCGATCCAAACACCAGACCGAACACCCATGGAGAGCACACACACA